AGAGCTCCTTGCAGGAATAGTGAACGCCCCCAAGGATGAGGGTATGCTGCAGGCAGGGCTGTGGGCACACTGATCCCCAGGTGAGGCACTGGGGGCTACCTGTAGTCTCCTGAGGACTCCCGGACCCACTAGAAGAGCTGAGATTGGGTGGGTATCCTGCCTCTCTGCCTGCTTCACAGAGGGAAGCTCCCTTTGGGCACTATCTCCCCTTCCCAATGTGCTCCCATTGGGGGGTAGGAGATGCTGTGGGTCCACAGGGCCACACCCTGTGCTGGCCACTTTCCACTGACCCTCCAGGCTCCCTTTCTGCCCTGCTCTCTGCCCTAGAGGCTGAGCCCCATGGACCCCGTTCCTGGGCTCCATGCCTTCTGGCTTCCTGCGGGGCGGGGCCATGGCGAGCCCTGGCTACAGGTAAGAGGGGAGGAGAAGTCACAATATGCACAGCACAGCAGCTCCCCTGTGGGGTCACCTGGGCAGGCTGTGTCCCTGGATGAAAGGGCGCACCTTCCCTCTAAGCAGCCCTCTGTCAGAGTAGCTCCTTCCAGGTCCCGGCAATGTGCCTCCCCATCCCTTCAGCCTCAGTAAGGGTGGCCGCGGCCCAGAGTGCAGTGCAGCGCCCACCCTCGTGCTCCCCATCCTCTACAGTTTTCCCAACTTGAGCCATCTCGTTCCTAGTGGAACCCTGACTGACACATAGGCCTGTCCCCTGGCAGCACAGAGAGGCCTCCGGCCACGCTGCTGCTCCCGCAGCTGGCGTACATGGCTACACCCGGGGCACCGCCCTGGACCACCAAGCTGCTCTCCCAGAAAGGTGGGTGAAAGCCAGAGAGGCCTCATTCAGAGCAGGGCCCCCAGGTCCATGAGTGAGAGGCAGAGTCGAAAGGCCAGCCTGGGACAGCATAGCAACCACTTGGGACAATGACATCTGTGGCTTTGGAGTCACAGAGCTTTGGGTTCAAGTTCTGCCTCTTCCCGCTACTCACTGTGTAACCTTGGGGAGCACCGCTTCCTCTCTCTGACCCTCAGGTCCAGCCTGAGCTCCATGACGGGGTCACCAGGAGACAGTATGCAGAGCCCAGCACCGACCCAGCTCCCAGTGGCCACAGCAGGGCCCATGAGGAGGCCTGTCCCCAGCTTCCCCGGCCTGCTCCTGGGTGAATCGCTGCTGAGTCACGGTTAGTAGGTTCCCAAAGTAGAAACTCTGTCAGGTCTCAGAGAATGTCAGCCCCAGTGACTCACGTGTGTTTCTCTCCAAAACAGGATCGCAGGCCTTTGGGACCAGCTCAGCCAACTCGGAGAGGCATTGCAGAGCTGTGAGTGGAACGCTGGGTTCCGGCCACAGAAGAGCTGCCAGGAGAGGAGTTCCCACTAGGAAAATCTGATTCAGCCAGCGTCTCCTTCTCCGTTAGGTTCCCAGTTCCTTGGCTGTGTCTGCAGCTAAGAGCTAGGGCTCCATGCTGGGTTGCCAGGAAGCTGGTGGCAGCGATGGTTTTGTTGTTATGGTGATGGTGTTGTTTTTAATGATGGTGGTGATGGATGGAATGGTGGTGGTGGAGTGGATAATGGTGATGGTGGTTATTGGAGGGTTGTTGGTAATGGTGATGGTGACGCTGTTGGTGGTGATGGTGGGTTGTTGTTGATGGTGGTGGTGGTGATGGTGGTGGTGAGGTGGTGGTTGTGGAGATGATGGTGATGTTGGTGGTGGTGAGGTGGTGGTTGTGAAGATGGTGGTGATGTTGGTGGTGGTTAGGTGGTGGTTGTGGAGATGATGGTGATGTTGGTGGTGGTGATGGTGGTGGTGGTGCTGGTGCTGGTGGTGATGGGATGTTGATGTTGAAGGGGGTGGTGATGAAGATGGCATGGATGCCTCACAGCCTGAGCCCAGGAGCCGAGCAGTAAGTACAAGAAGCATTGACTGCTCGCCCCAGTTCTGCTACTTACAACCCGGTGAGCTAGAGAAGCAGATCCAGCCCCTCAGAACCTCGGCTTCCTCATCAGTGAGGGGGGGACGATATGTCTCCCTTTCCAGGCTGCTTGGGCATCAGCGCGGCCAGCCTGTGAATGCCCGGCCTGTGAATGCGCGTGACGATGTGGAGTCTTAGAAGCTGTGAAGCGCTGAGCAGGGCCGGCTGCGCAGACACGTACAGGCACAGAATGCAGCTGCCGTGGACGTGGCTCCCGATGGGTTTCTGTGGGGCAGGCTCCCTTCCTTTTTAAGGCAGCAACATGCCCTTTCTTTTGGAGAATTTTGAACACTTTCTCTCCCTCTTAATGTGACTTGGAGGGGCTGGCGGTCCTGGACCCATGTCCCCTGATTGCAGGGAGGGTGAGTGGCTCAGGCTGGAGCTCGTCTAGCAGGAGGCGGTATCATTTGGCTCAAGACTTGCAAAGCTGCCTGGGGTCGCCTGTCGCCATTTTTCATACCCCATGAAGGGTACCTGTCTGCAAAACCTAAGGATAATGAGCGGAGAAAGGCAGAGAAATACCTGAAAGAGGAAGACAGGGAGAAGGGAAGAGGTAGAAAGTGCTGGTGGCCAAGAGAAGCCGGGACTTTGTTTAAGCACCTGGATCCAGCCGTGCCTGACGATAGCTGGTCCGCCCCTGAGCCTCCAGCTTACACAGGCCACAGAACAGCTCAGCCTAAGTTCAGATGTCCCACATGTCCGATAGTTTTCAGTCGCCGAGTCAGAGAAAATCAATACTTTAAAGACAGGTGTGTTCTGCTCAAGCGATCCCTGTGGATAGAGGGTCCACGTGAAGGAAGGCACCCAGCTCCCCCTGGATGGCCAGGCTGGGTTTGTTCAGCCCCAAAGCAGCCGCGTCTGCGGTGGGAGGGAGGGTCGGTGAGCAGGCCCGCTTTCGGGAGCTGTGGTTCCTTGGTGCTTACAGGCTACTCGCCTCTTTGGGAAGGACCGGTGGCCGGAGGGGGACGGGCAGTGGCAACACGGTGGTGTCTCTGCTAGACTTTCCTGGTTGGCTTTATCCCCACCCCTGGGAAGCCTCATCCACTGGACAGACTGGGATGGTGGGTCACCTCCTTCTATCCTCTGGGACTGGTTTCCGGGCCCAGCCACACCCCTGGGACACTGTGTGCCTGTCTGTGGGACAGCAGGTCCCGCTGGTGCCTCCAGTGGCTTCTTGGAAAGCGTGTGCTGAGAAGTGGCCAGGCCGAGTGCCCAGGCAGGATTGGCTCCCGGCTACCAGCGGCTGGCAGCACGGGCTGCCCCAGGTCCTCTGAATCCAGGAACCCAGGCTTTGGAAGGTGTAAGCTCTGTGCGAGAGTCTGGTGTGTGTGTGTGTGTGTGTGTGTGTGTGTTGACTGGGAGATGTGCTAGCACTTTTGCATCCCCTTTCCATACGCGACAGGACATCCCCACGGAACCTGCAGAGAGGGCCTGGGCTCCTTCCCAGCACCACTGGGCGTGGCCACTTGCTTACTGGGGCCTATGGAACGCGAGAGGATACCCTTCTGAGCAGAAACATCAAGTGCCATTGAGCGTTGCCACGAGGCTCGGCTCGCGCGCCCTCACCAGCTCTGTGCCTTCAGCTTGGACGCCGGCGTGTGGAGAACGGGACTGTGGCTACCGTAAAGCGCGAGACACAAACCTTCCCTGCTGAAGGCGTCTGAGATGTAGCTGTTCCCCGGCCCAGCTGCCAGGGAGCCACGTGGCTTTCACGGCCGCGGTGCCGTCGGCCGGAGGCTCACCCCTTCCACCAGTGCCCAGGAACCTCGCCCTGGCCAAGCCCGTAGACAGCATGTTTGCATTTGGGCATGAAACGTCACCAAATACCCACACGATCTACAGTGGGGCCGCCAGGGAAGACCTCGGGCCTGGAAACAGCCGGTTTGTGGGGGTGTAACGTACATACGACAGAACCCACCGGTTTAAGTGTGCAAGTGAATGAGGTGAAAGATGTGCACAGTGGGGCAACCCCCGCATTGACCCGGATACACACTCCTCTGGGAAGTGTCCTCGTGCCGCTGTGCAATCCAGCACCCCCCCACCCCCCTCCTGCCCCACCTGCAGGTTACTGCCCACCCGCTTCCTGCTGCTGCCGCTCAGATCTGCCTGCTGTGGAGCCGCACACGATGGAGCCGCGCAGCCACGTGCTCCCCGGGTGTGCTCCCTGCTCAGCGGGACGGCAGCGGGCGCGTCTGTGCCTTGTTGACTGTGTATCCCTTCCCGCGGTGTGAAGTGGGGTCTCGCTGCGGTTTTAATGAGCTTCCCCGTGGTTACGGGCGATAACGAGCGGCGTCTCAGGTGCTGCTCGGCCAGTAGAGAGCCCCCTCTGTGGAGTGGGGCGCATACCCGTTGCCCCATTTTCAGTGGGGTGTGTGCCTTACGCCTGAGCTGTGAGAGTCCCTGGTATATGCTGATTCCAAGCCCTGGCAGCGCTGGGCGTGGCGAGCATTCCCTCGCAGGCTGTGATTTTCCCTTTGGGTGTTTTGGGGTGTTTTTTTTAAGGTGGATTTTGGAGTGCAGCATATTTGAATGTTGGTGAAGTCCATTGATCCCATGTTTTATTTCTGTGGTGCCTGCCTTTGGGGTCCTTGTGATGGCTTCGTTGGCCCCTGCGTCATCATGCAGTTGGTTTTTCTCGATTGCTTCCTTCTTTACTCTGGGCCCCCTTTTTCTGCCCCCGCTCCCCCACAGTGACTAGTTTTTTTATTGCACACGTACCTTCCCAGGAGCTTTGTGGGACGCGCGGTCTCCCCTCGTGCGGGGAGGGTTGGGTTTTGCTCCAATGGGCAGCTCTATTGCTCTCTGCCCTGAACTGGTATGTACTTGCCCTCATCCTTTGTTGGTGGGTTTGGGGAGCCCTAGATGGTCCCAAGTCCCCGACATGGGGAGATCCGCCTCCCACACTGTCCCCAGAGACCCTATCTGGGATTGTGTTGGATTCGTTAGGAGGAGTCTAACGTTCGTACAGGCCAGGATGGCGCCTTGTCCGAGGCACACCTTCTCGGTCGGCAGTGGCAGGTCCCGGGGTGAGCGAGGCTCTGCCCCCTGCCTGGACCCTGCCCCTTAGCCTCCTTATTTTGAAACCCTGCCAGGATGTAGTGTGTATCAGCAATTCACTCCCTTTTGTTGCTGGGTAGTATGTCGCTGCATGGAGGTACCCCACTTGGTTGTTTTGTTTACTCATTCTCCCAGAGAATACGCATTTGGGGTGTTTCCAGTTTGAGGCTATTGCAAATAAAGCCACTACGAACATTCCTGTACACATCTCTGAGTGAATTTCTCTAGGGCAAACATCCAGGAGTGAATAATGGGGCCGAATTTTTTAAGGAGCTGCCAACTTTTCCCCGGAGTGGTTATATGGACATACACGAAAGGCGGGTTGCTTCCCATGCCTGCCTCCAGGGGCATGAACAGTCTTTCATTTTAGTGCGGTGGCATCTCGCCGGGGTCTTACTCCGCACTCCTGTAGTGGCTAACGATGCTGACGGTTCTAGCTGTGGCCATCTGTACATCGGCTTTAATGAAATATTGTTTCCAATCTTGGGCCCACTTTTATTGGCCTGTCTTCTTAGGGTTCTTAGAAACATTGACATATTCCGGGTGTGAATCCTGTCTGGGATATATGTTATAGACACCGTCTCCTACTCTATCACTTGCCTTTTCGTTTTTTTACTGGTGTCTTCCAAAGACCAAAAGCTCTAAGTTTCTCTGAAGACCAATTTATCCATTTTTCCCCTTTTGGTTTGTGCTTTTTGTATTCTACCTAAGAAATCCTGCCCTACCCCACAGTCTCAAAGATTTTCTCCTCTGTTTTCACATAGAAAAGTCTTACGGTTTTAAGTAAGGGTTGATGTTCATTCTTTTTCTACTTGGAAATCCATTTTATCCAAATTATTCTTTGAAAAAATTTGTGTGAGATTTTTTTCTCAGCTCAATTGCCATGGCACCTTTTAAAAACATCAACCAGCTGTATATTGGTGGTCTCTATTCTGTTCCATTGATCTATGTGATTGTCCTTACAGCAATAGCTAAATGTATTCAATTAATGTGACTTTTCAAAGTATATGTCTTGAGATCAGAAAAGACCTTCAACTTTATTATTCTTTATAAAAGTTTTTTATCATTCTAAGTCTTTGTATTTCTATATAAATTTTAGATTAGCTCACCAATTTTTATCAGGATTGTGTTGAATA